CGAAGGAACAGGATATTTCTAGAAACGTGGCGTGACACTAGTCACGTGACCTCGCTGACGCAACAATATGTATTAAAGTATACTACTTATCAAAAAAGCAGCAGTAACCAATTACGAAAACAATGGTAATTACAAATATTTATGAGGTATTAAAAAAAGTCAACTCAAGCATAAATTTTTATAGTAAGTAATTAATTTGTAAATTCTAATATTTTTCTGTAACTAAGCATCATCATCCAGTAATTTTTAACACTAAATTATACATAACACTACTAAATCTGCTAATATGTTTAACACTAATAAATCTGCTAACATGTTTAACACTATTACATCTGCTAACATGTTTAACACTACTAAATCTGCTAACATGTTTAACACTACTAAGTCTTCTAACATGTTTAACACTACAAAATCTGCTAACATGTTTAACACTACAAAATCTGCTAACATGTTTAACACTACAAAATCTGCTAACATGTTTAACACTACTAAGTCTTACAACATATTTAACACTACTAAGTCTTCTAACATATTTAACACTACTAAATCTGCTAACATGTTTAACACTACTAAATCTGCTAACATGTTTAACACTACTAAGTCTTCTAACATGTTTAACACTACTAAATCTGCTAACATGTTTAACACTACTAAATCTGCTAACATGTTTAAAGTTCCAATTTAAACAATGGCATACGTACTTCATCTTTACCCATGCCCTTGTTGGTGGATCATCAAAAAACTGAACATGGACTTGGGGAATTTTTCCTGGCCTCACATAAACATGATCTTTAGGATGATTACAAACCAGACTTGGCCACCATGGATAACCTTCCAGTTTTGACCACACAACTTCATAGAGAGTAAAGGGACAATCTGTAGTAAAAACAGTAAGACTTTGAGCACATTCCTTAAAAATCAAAACTATAAACTCAATCCAAAAGTATCTGAAAATTACAGTTAAAACACTTTTACTTCTATTAAATCATATAAAAAACATGAAAATGGTGACAAGAGCTTTGGCTCACCAATGTCATCTCTTCTGACTCCTAAACATTTACATAAAAAGTTGTAGTAGATATACAGACCTTAAGGTATTCAATAGTAAGGAATTTACCAAGGAACAATTCAACACATCTTAAAAAAGGCTTACAAGTGAAAAAAACACTACTACTCTCAAAATCAAACTTTGAATGAATTATTTTCTGTAGAATGCTAGTTTTTTCACTACAGCTAATATACAAATATTATAAAGTCTCAAACGTACACTTGCATTCTTTTATACGTGTTTTAACAACAGCAAAATGTTTTCTTTTCAGAAAGATCACATCCTTTTAAATTATTATACCCCAATCACATCCTTTGAAATTATTATACCCCAAAACATTAGAATGTGTTTTACAACTATGAGAAACATTCAACTACAGAAACATGTAGGTCAAGAGATTGAAACTTATTTCCTGAATAGATGAGCATGAGTAGTTTCTCAGGGTTTGTTTTGAGGCCTCTGTTGTTTATTGCATAGGTAAGTGGTGAGGCCTCATTTGGAGTACTGTGCTCAGGCTTGGGCTCCTTACCTTAAAATGGACATTGAATTATTCAAAAGGGTTGAAGGAAGGGCTACTAGGGTTATACCTGTGACAGGAAGATTGTCATATGAGGTCAAGTTAAGATCTCTGAAAATTGTTTTCTCTTGAAAAATGATGAGTTAATGGAGATCTAATTGAGGTGTTTAAGATACTTAAGGAAATTGATAATGTTGATGTAACATTTTTTCTTTGTACTTTATGATGAGAATGGTAAAACAAGGAACACATCTTCAACTAAGACAGTTTTATTTTTCTAACAGGGTGGTTGACATTTAGATTTAGTTACCTTCTGATGTGGTAAATGCAATAAATTTAAAGGAAAGGCTTAATAAATACTTAAATGCTAAGGACTGGCTTTGATGGGGGGGGTTTCTTTTTTTTAAAGTTTAGTTTAGTGGATGGGTCAGCCTCAATGGACCAACAGGTTCCTTGTACTTAAATGTGTTGTTTATCAATAATTATATATATGTGTAGCAATAAGAGATACAAATCAGCTCAATTTACTTCTTACACCAAGTTACTGGAGAACGATAATATTAAAAAGAATGTTGTTTGTTTCAGAAGTGATCTCCAAAAGCTTACAGAATAAATGAGTACACAGAAAATGAGTTTCAATATTTAGAAATGATACACAATCTCCACAAGCTTGCAAGATAAATGAAAGCATGGAAAATGTGTTTCTGTATTGAAAAATGATGCATTTAGGATACCAAAATTCCAAAAAAATATTCTATTGTGTTAGAATTAAGATGGATTCTGAAGAGTTGAAAATATCTGTTTGTGACAGGTTACAAGATTATCTGTGAGACTGATAGGATAAAAGCCTCTGGTTTCTTAGCACTCTTTCTTGTTTATAGATGGAAAGAGATGAGACCAGAGTTGTATACGGCAAATTGAAGTTTCTTAACAATAGTTTGGAGAATAGGAATAATTGAAAACTGAATAACCTAGATGGACCAAATGATCCCTTGTTATCCTTTGAAGATGAAATGTTCTATTTACACTTCAAAATTGGTCAGAGGCTCAGTTAGGCTTCTTATTGGAAATTTATACTTTTTTTTTTTTCCTTTTTTAATATTTGAAGTAACAAGTGCATGTATAAGCTTTGAAAAATCTAGACTCAACTTAATTATTGGGCAAAAATATTTCTTAAAATTCTATTAACTTTGAAATTGCTTACTTAAAGATGTGGTACATCCTGATAATAATTCTTTTATATATATCTGCTGAATAAACATAAGAATGTAAAATATTTTTCTGGGGTAGATTGAAGTTTAGTTTAACTGCAGATTTTGGATCATCTCAGAGAGATGAATTGCTTCCTAACACAATGTTCTTACTTGCATGTATCTAACACTTTTTCCAGTCATAGTTTGGATTCTTTTAAAATTTCTGCTGAATTAATATATGAATGTATTTATCTTCTTCATATATGGGCTGAAATTTGGTTTTCATTAAGGATCTGGGATGACCTCAGTAGGCCGAACCACTATCTGATATTATGCTTCTACTGATCAAATACTTTCTCATACTCATAGATTAGATAGGGGTGCTCACACCCAATGATGGTTTATCATAAAGTTGATCATGATGTATTAGTGAAGTAGGAAATGAACCTTAGTGTAATTAGTTTTTTAAATAAAATTGAAATTGAAAAAACAAAAACGTTTCTCCATTTTTTCTATCAATCCCAACATCTTAACTAAGATTTGAGAGCAAAAAAATGTGCAAACTAACAAACTTTAATTTAAAGTCACTCACTCCACTGTAAATATAATTACCCATATTTTCAAGCTGAAAAGTCCAATACCATCCCATCTAAGTTTATCATTTCACATCCTATCTTCTGACACAAGCCTCATTCATAAGTCAGTAATTTCCTTCTTCAGCCTTTTAAATTTATGTATACAAATGATTATTTGCCAAGGTTCCAGAAATATTTAAAAGGAAATCATAAGAGGCCTACCTAATCTCATCCACGAGATTTAGTTTTCAATAAGCCTTTTCTATTTTCTTCACTTATTTTTAAAACTCAACATTTGTCACAAATTTTCCGTTTATCCATCTTTTTAAATGACCATCATTCGCAATAGTATTATTATTATTAGGTTGAAACTTAGAACCTTAGTCTTTACTTTTCTATTGATTTTTATTGTACTTTTAAATTATAGTTAGTGCTCACATTAATTTCAAACTCTTGTACAGTTATGTGTGCATATGCATCAATTTAATTAAACAAGACAAAACTAGACTGTAAAGTAACTGCAAAATTGCATTCATTCCCCAAGTGTCTTAATTTTTTTCTAAATCTCATGGCTGGCTTACCAATGTTGCCGTGAGTAGCACGAGTTTCGCTAAGTGGCCGTACACTCTCCTGTTCTTTTGTAGTGTTTGAATTTTTCTTCAACACAGATTTTTTGTTTTCTTGTGATTTTATGTTTGACACCGGAGATTTGGTAAAGTACCTAAACAGAGTGTTTCCTTTAGTTTTAGACATTGTCAAAATCTCATCTGCAGCACGTGTATCATAATCCGATCCTGGTAATAGCAAACTGGCGGGAATTATCAACTCACCGTTTTACTCAGAGTGAACACACACACACATACAAAGAGACAGTTGAAATCGATATTTTCACAAATTATATTTTACTATCAAAAATCGTTCATGTACTATCTTTTTGTAAAATTAAAAAAAAATGAAAGTCTGATAGTAAACAAACCTAAATAGGTTTCATGCCCAAGCACTTCCAATGAAAAATTTAAATATAAAAATGTTTTTAGATGTATAATTTATCATTTTGAGGTTATCTCTCACTAAACAAGAACTGCATATTTTCCTCAATCGAAATTAATTTGTTGCGTGGTGAAATTTTCTTTCAGGTGTATTAAAGTATATCTATTTTAACATAAGTACCCTGGCTTATGACATTAAGTCTTTCTGCTTATTATAGAGTAATTCTTTTGTTGTGTTTTTAATTATGCACAAAGCTACACAAGGGTTATCTGTGCTCTGCAAACTACGGGTATCGAAACCCGGTTTCTAGCGTTGTAAGTCCGCAGACATGCCGCTGTGCCACTGGAGGGGGGGGGGCGAGTAATTCTTACTAAAATAGTGGTGTACGTCGGCTTCATAAAATTAAATGCTACAAACGTTCAAACTAATAGTTTATGCTATCGTGAATGTATATCAGTCGATGTTCAACAAGTTATGTGGCATTTGTTACAGAAACTTTGTTTCATAAAAGTTTATTGTTGCCTCTACAAAACTATCTTTGGATCGTTTTAGAGCCTGTTTAGATATGCTGTTTTGCGTCTGTAAATGAAAAGTAGTTAAATTAAATAGAATAGAAAAGCAGTAGGTAACAGCCATGTCAGAAACTACTTTTTAGTAGTACATATAGTAATGGAAATATATGGGTGTGTTGGGCTAAAGATTCTTCAACAGTAGGTGTCTGTAATAGTTGGCGATAAATTCAACAATAAACGAACAGCACACAGTCCACTTGTTTTTTTAAAATAATATATATATATTCGAAACAAGTTAAACATATGTATAAAATTCTTTATAGTATAGAGATCATAGTTGGATTTTAAACACTATACAATTCTCTTCTTGTTGTCAAAAGTTCACTTAGGCCAATTCAATTGCTTTAAAGTTCAGTTGACAAGCCGAATGATTTTTCTTTATTTTATCGCTATAGTATCCATGTATAATTCACTTACGCGGTCGCCTGAGTTACCGCAGTTGTATATCTTGAACTTTCACTAATCGTCTGTTTTTCGTCAAAGTCCACAAAGTCGGGTTCAGTTAGTTTAGAACAACCTTTGACAGGACAAATTATTCTCCTTATCTCCTTAAAACTGTTAATCTCACTCTAGCATATCAACTGTTAAATCATTCACTCTCACAATGGTTAACTTTACGTTTTCTAATTTTTCTCTGACCGAACTTCTCTTTCACATGAATTCTCTTTTACTCTGTTTCCGTTTGTCTTGTCACAGCTATTTAAACATATATCACTTAGGCCTTCTAGAAATCTCTATAGCTTCAACATCAAAAGATTGCAAGCACAACATTCGATAGACTCGACATCAATGAATTACAAACACAAAATAAATAAATTAATAATACCTATATTAAATAGTCTTTTATATCTGACAAACCATTAGATAGAATTCTACACTTTCAAATCAGATCTTGTTATCAGTGGCGTAACTACAAAAAAATGCCACCACCAGCATAAGAAATAATTGGGCCCCATACATTTATTCTCCTTGTTGGCAATCATTAAATTTGTCAGACCCTCTTTTGATTTGTCCCCTCGCAATTTCGAGGTTTGCAGGGGCATAGTCATGCCACTGCTTGTTACCCTAAAGTAATTGAGAGATAACTGAACATCCAAGTATTTTTCTTAATTTTTTTCTCCATCTATTGAGAGATAACTGAATTTTCAAGTATTTTTCCTTATTATTTGTTTCTCCATATATTGAGAGATAACTGACTTCAAAATATTTTTCTTAATTTTTTCTCAACCTATTGAGATATAACTGTACTTCTATGTATTTTTTCTTAATTTTTCTCCATCTATTCAGAAATAACTGAACTTCCGAGTATTTTTTCTCCATCTATTCAGAAATAACTGAACTTTCAAGTATTTTTTCTTAATTTTTTCTCAATCTATTGTGAAATAACTGTACTTCCAAGAATCATTTTTACATCTATTGAAAGATAACAAAATTTCTAAGTATTTTTTCTCAATTTTTTTCTCCATGTATTGGGAGGAAACTGAACTTCCAAGTATTTTTCTCCATCTCTTGAGATATAACTGAGCTTCCAAGTATTTTTCTCCATCTCTTGAGATATAACTGAACATCCAAATATTTTTTCTCCATCTCTTGAGATATAACTGAACTTCCAAGTATTTTTTCTTAATTTTTCTCCATCTATTCAGAAATAATTGAACTTCCAAGTATTTTTCCTTATTATTTGTTTCTCCATCTATTGAGAGGTAACCAAACTTTCAAGTATTTTTCCTAATTATTTGTTTCATTATATATTGAGATAACTGAACTTCCAATTATTTTTTCTTAATTTTCCTAACATAGATATCACAGCTGAAAGTATGCATAATCTATTTTTGGATTAATTTGGAGGCCAGCGAAGTTGGAATGGTTCCTCCTGGATGGTATAAGTACCCCGAAGCACTGGACTAACGATTGGGGAGATTTTCAGAACCCATGCTTTCCAACTTCACCCCGGGTTACTGTATGTGCATACAATCATAACCCCATGCCGGGGCAAGATGATTAATGGGGAGGACATCATATGAATCCCATGCTATGAAATATGTTACCACTTTGAGATTTATTGCAACAATTAACAGTACAAAAGAACAAATACTGGGGATGAAGCAGCAGCGCTTGTAGTTCTTCCTTACCATTGGCAGTGAGACGATTGAGCTTCTGTTTTTGATTTGTAATTTATATTGTATTACTCTGTACATATTGTATCATAATTTGTGAACTTATCATTACTCTGTACATGTCGTGTATTACATCTTGTGTGCAATTGCTGTAAATTTTGTCTCTGAGTGTGCTGAAGATTCCTCACTCCCAGTAACTGTTTCTACTTCCTCCCCTGTGATCTGGAAACGTCATATCCCTGTAGCAGTGCCTACTCTCCATTCCGAACTTTGTGCAGTGGCATCCTGGTCTTCCCTTGTGGTTGCCAAGTCACCTTCAGTTTCCCAGATGGACTGTATCGACTCAGCTACACTCAAACTTTAACTCTCTTATTGCCAGATGTTAGGTAATGCTTCCCAGCCCATCCCTGAGGCCACTGTTTCTCCAACTGAAGATGCATCGCCAATGTCAGATGCCGCTAAATTTCCTCCCAGTCCTGTGGAGGATGACTCATCAACAGTCCCATCACCTCCGTCTCGTCTAAAGTCTCGTCCAGTCCCGAAGTCTGCATCAGTAACAGGAGAATCTGTATGGATATAACATCTCCGGTTCCCAATTTTGAAAAAATTGGGAATTACACAGTCATGGTCAACTACCTGGGCTTGCAACGCTTGTGCCGCCGTTGTGGACTCGGAGGTTACCTTGCCAACCAGTGTGACACCCTGAGGTGCTCACGTTGTTCAGCATATCGCCATGAGTAGGTCCAGTGTACCGTTTCATGTGATTTATGTTAGGGGGCTCACAGTTCTTCTGTGTGCCCCTCCCATGCTCCAACATATGCCAGAAAAGTTTCTGGAGCTGACACAAAACGTGCCATTTCTCCCCTCCACCATCACCTGTCCCAGAGCCTGTACTGCCTCAACCCATCCCAACTACCAATGTGTGTCCTGTTCCTATGGAGCAGCAAAACCAGTCACCCTCCTCAGGTCCTGCCCGGACGTGATGGTTAAAACTCGTATTCTATTTCGATAACTCGTCCATATGGTCGTAGAGCAGCACTAATCACTTTATGTGACATTTCATAAGGAGCAGAATGCAGGGTCATCCATTTCAGGTTTTGGCTTGCAGGACTCACCGAGATGGAGGCACCATTTACCGAGAAAACTCCTCGACCCAACAGCTCATTTGCCACAGCCAGAGTGGACAATGTGGCAATGTATCGGCCAGCACCGAAGTGCTGGAGACAGTCCACGGCATTATCACCCAGGCTCTCACAGATAGAGTCAATCACCTGAGAAGGTAATGTGTCTTTCTCGACGATAAACCTGACCGACCGAGGTCGGGTCAGGTGGTGGATGGAACTCATTCCAACCAACCCAAAGAGTCACAAAAAATCAAAAATTTTTAAAAATTCAAAACTGTCAATGAAAACGAAAAACGTAGAAAATGAAAACAATACTCACAAAAAATGCGCACACGACAACACTGGTGCAAGTAGTGTACCACACATGCAGATTCAGGCTCGGCCCCACTGAAGATTTGAAAGAAAGAAGACCGCTATATAATGTCTTGATTTGATGATTAAGAAACTGGTGTTATCAAACTGAGACACCAATAATATGTATACAGATCGTTCACTTGCAAAGATACTTCGGGTGGTTGATACATTAAATATTAATTTAATTAATTCTTTATTTATTTACTTATTTTTAGCGAAATTGGTTTGTCAGATATTATTGTTGTGAGAGGAAAAGTCCCAAACTATCGTAATTAACATAAAAATATGTGCTGCCATCTAGCGACGGTAACCAAAACTATTATGAATGTAGAAGTAATTCTCCTCAGTAGTGGTTTTCCTTTCTGTTATTTTCTCAGAAAAACGCGAGTAATACGAGAGGATAATAACATTGCTCTTATATACAAATCGGGCGGGCAATATTTTCACATCTTGCGTATGTGTCAAGCAAAGTAATTTTCATCTTAACATTAAAAATACTTTTGTATATCAGAAAATTTTGAACTTTCATATGCGAAATTTTTATAATGTCCAAATAGTTACCAAACGTAGCCTAAAAGAAAACTTGAACGATCTCGCAATCACCATAAAAAATTATGAAATAAACATAAATTATGCATTTTTCATTCTGGAATGAACAA